AATCGCGCTTGAGGAGGGAACGGATTCGGACCATTCACGAGCGCGGGAACGCTTTCGGGTCATCTGATCGCGGGGCACGCGGATCGCCAACATGGCCTCCTGCATGGCACCAAGTCAGCATGCCTTGTCACGCAGCGCTCACCGGTTCGTCGAGACTGCTGACTGGACAGTCTTACGTGGGACAATTTTTTTTAATTACGTTTTGACTCATAGTTTTCGATTTTTCTTTTAAAAATACCATCCAAACCCAAATTTTTACTAATTTTTCTTAAAATTATTTTTAATTTCATCATCAATCTATTTTTTTTTCATAATTCTACATTAAATTAAAATTTATTAATTTCAAAAATAGATTTTTATATATTTTTTTAATGTTAAAATTAATTCAGGGTCAAATTTCGAGCCCGGGTATTACATAGGCTATTATTGTTTGCTTACTGCATGCACTTTAATTCATAAGTTTAATTGTCTTCTCATTTATAGGTTTAATTCAAAGTTTGATTATTGTTGTTTTTTAGAATGTCTAATGATTTGCTATCTCGATTCTTGTCTTCACAAGTCGTATTTGAGAACCTAAAAGGTGAGTATGAAACTAATGTTTTTAAAATTAAATAAATTTACCTAAAAAGGAAATAGTTTCATTGGTTATTTTGTGATTTTTACTAACATTTGATTTTTCATATCCTTTGTAAAATATTGATATTTTTACTGTGTTAGTGTAGTTTATTCCTTTTATTTAATAATTTCATATCAAGACAACTAAAATTTGGATCCTAAATAATAAGAAAGTTAGCGATTAAAGGTTGTCTATCGTTTTCTACCAGTTGTGATGCGGAGGTCGATCTTTTAGGTTTCTAGCGACATTTTTCTTTTTGTTAATTTAATTTCCTTCAAAAGACATTCCTATAGTTTTGTTGGGCATTTTGATTAAACTGCGTAAGAAATATAAATCTTGAATTCTTAGTTATTTCTGTTAATACTTTATTAATTCAATATTACCATTCAATTAAATTTTGGGCTGTTATAGAAACTAGCGGCTTGGTCATGATTTACGGTTTTGTTAGGTTGAGAAAGGGAAAAAAAAGAGGTGCAACTGTGAGTAGAGCTCTTGGATCTGGTAATTAAGAGAAATGGAAAAATGAGGAATGAATTGAGATAAGGGAGAACTTGTAGATCTAGTTATAGGGAATAGACAATGAGAGAGGTGGAGAAGAAAGAGTAGAATGAAGATGACATATGAGAGTTTGATGAAATCGCTAACAGTGATGCATGGATAGTAGAGAAGGAAGATTGTGTTTGAGATTCGGATTTGGAGAGAGATCTTATGTTGAAGATGAAGAAAGTTTATTTGAATACTTGGTTTTGTCTTTCTTCAATTACAAGGAATATTTACTGAAACAATTTTTTTTTCCCCCTCTTTTTAATGGGATTACTTTAAAATTTTCTTGGAAATTTTCTCTCCTGTTCATAGCCTCTTTTTCATTACACACCTTGGCATTTGTAGAGCCAAGAACTTCCTTCTTCCATTTGACTAAAGATTAGTGGTAAACAATGGTGGCTGGAGATAGAATCAAAACTTATTTAGAATGTACTGAAAAAGAATAACCTTTATTTTACTGTTGATCTGGAAAAAATTGCATACTGCAAAAAATTAGTTCTTGTCATTTCTTGAACTGTGAATCTACGAATGCGAGATTGTGTAAATATAACACATCCGCAGAAGATGAAACAACAAAAACTTACGAGAGATGTTCTTGTGATAATCTATAATTTTTTTTTTTATATAAATCCCAGAACAATGTGATTTGATTTTTTTTTTATAGGATACCAGAATTTATTTGTATTCATAGTGCATTTTTATAAAAATATTATAGCGTTTGAAATATGATGAAGTTCACTATTCTACTTACAAATTATATACAATTAAATATAAAATTTAAATAAAAATAAAAATATTTATTTAAAAATTAAAATAAATGAGAAAGAAAAGAGAAGAACGCTGGCAAGCTAAAAATATCCACAGCTGCTTTGTAACGTGTGCCATGACGTTAACTTCAGAATAATAGAAAATAATAATAATAATAATAATATTACAGAGAGTTTAATTTATAAATAAATAAAATTTTAATGGAAATAAAATAAGATTTTAATATTTAAAAGGATAAATATATTTTTAATTAAAAATCAATTAAATGAAGTTTATATATTTTTTGTTAAATAATAATAAGTTTATATTTACTCCTTAATATTAAAATGTGCACTAAAATTAAAATTAAATTCTAAATGATAAAAGAATTTTTGTGTTGAATTTTATATTAAATTACAATAATTAAAAAAATAATCAACTTAAATTTATTATTTTTAATCAAAAAAAGGGCCTCTCTTTCACGTGCAAATATGTTAGACTTTTGACGCGTGTAGGTCCTTGTAGGATGCTATTTTTTACATGAAAATATTTTCAACAATGTGATTTAGCACAGGAAAAAGGGGAGAAGAAAATATATCAGAAGAACAGGAAGGTGAAGGCTGCTAACAGATTCACTGTCAATCATTGCCCTAAGGGTTGGAATTAATTATCACACCTACTCCAAGTTCATTATCGCGAAAATCAATGGTTGCGAGCTTATCCTAGTTCGGATTTAAGAACCCTCTCTCTCTCTCTCTCTCGCTCATTTTCTCATCCCTTCTCTGGAGCATTCACAACCACATCCCCTAAATTGCGTTGCTCTGTTTGTATATCTCTTGCACAATTTTGTCAAGGTTTGTTGTTTGGAGGGCTGCGGATCTGCTTCTTTTCTGCAACTTTTTGGTTTCTGTGGTTCTTTTTGTAATTAGGTTGAGTCTTCTGTGGAATTGGACAGGTTTTTGAAAAAATGGAGGGGGTAGATTACTTGGCTGATGAGAGGAACAAAGCGGAGTTCTCGGTGGACGACATGAAGATCGTCTGGGCCGGTTCGCGCCATGCCTTAGAAATTTCCGACCGAATTTCTCGTCTTGTAGCTAGCGATCCGGTGAATTTTCTCCCTCCTCCTTTCCTTTATAAAATTTCTCGCTCTCGTCTACTAGTTGTAGGTAATTTGTTTGTTCTCAGTTTCTGTTTGGTACGGGAAAATTTGCTCTTTTCTTCCCTGTCCGAGAACATTTAATCCCGGATATTTTCATGACTAAACACGAACTTTAATCTCAGTTTCCGTTCGGCTTTGTTTGGCTTCCTAGAAAATTTTCGTTAGTGATGAGAAAATTACTTCTCTTCGCTTTTTATTGTGTTTTGGTTTGCCAGGCTGTGTTCCCAGGTGTAGCATTTCATGTTATGATTTCTTCATGATATTATTATATCTTTTGCTTTAGTTGTAAGACAACTCAAAATTTTTAACACGAACTTTAATCTCAGTTTCCGTTTGGCTTTGTCTGGCTTCCTAGAAAATTTTCGCTAGTGATGAGAAAATTACTTCTCTTTGCTTTTTATTTTGTTTTGGTTTGCCAGGCTGTGTTCCCAGGTGTAGCATTTCATGTTATGATTTCTTCATGATATTATTATATCTTTTGCTTTAGTTGTAAGACAACTCAAAATTTTTAACAAAACTGATATGAGGATCATTTGCTTTCTGTCATGATATTTAATGATATTTACATCCTGTTTGGATAAATTTTAGTGATGGTTAATTAATGTAGGTTAATGACTGTGATTGGATGACATTGATACAGAATGATAATGTCAAAATTTTTTTATGTTTGGATGATTTCATATTAATGTATGTTAATGATATATCTTTGTTTGCATGATAGGATAGTATGATTGTATTTTCAGTCAAATTACTAATTTACCCATACTTATTATATGTAATAGTAAATGTTATATAAGAAGTATGTAATAAAAAAAAATTATTTATTAATATTATTTTATTTATATTTAAATAAATAATTATTAC